ATAAACACAGAAACTTGCAAGACTGAAAACAAAAAGCCACCTATATATCTCAAAATTGTTTTGACCTGATTCCTTTTATAAAGGGATTCTTGTATTATCTCATATATAGTCTCACATTTGAATGAGAAATACAGTGTTCTTTAAACTTGTAGAATATGATCTATAGTGACTAATTATTATCTACTTTATATAGTAATAATAAGCATACCCTTAAATTGTACCCATGAAATACATGAAGCACTTCAAGTATTTTACATCTGGAAAGCCAGTCAAGACATGATGGCTTATAATTAATAATTCTTTATTTCAAATGTCATTCCAATCTTTAAATTCACCTTCAAATTAACAAGTCTAATTTTAGGATGGTATCCCTCTAAGTAAATTATTGGTGCAAGTATAATCCTTGAATAATCTTAAAGGTAACAAATAATTTAATTTCAGGGATCAAGTAGATTTAATTGTGTGATCGTGGACACCTGTCTGGCCACAGGATTTTTCTATCATGAGGTAGCCTTGGATTAGCGATGGTCACCACATTTTAGGTTTTGGAGCACTTTGAGGTTCCTACCAAATGACAGGAGTAAAGAGTACTGAGGAAAAGATAATGTCAGGGTTTTCTTCTCTGGGGGATTCTACTGTATTTGGACTTGATGAATGTTGGTTGATATAGCCCTATGTGTTTAAAAGCCCAGGGATCCTTACATCTTAGGGTTCTTTCCATTAGATTTTAAACTTTCTATATGGTTTAGTGGTAATATTGCCTTCATAGCATCCCCGTGAGCTTGATAAAATAACAACAACAAACAGTATGATTTCCTGTATAACAGATGAGGAAACTGCATCACAGAAATGGGTAACTGACCCCTTTCAAGTTGTACAACCAGGTAACTAGAGGCTGACTTCAATCCCAGATTCTTTCCAGAGTCATAACTGATAACTTCCCATTTGCTTTGGATAGCCACAGGATAGGGAAAGACTCCTAACTTCTCTGCCTTGTCCAGACCAAATTTTTAGGACTATTTAATTGATGAGACTGAGTCAGAATAGCTTTTACTGATAAGGCATACAGAAAGTTTTGTGTCTCCTGGAATGTGAATTTTTCGAACACTTTAAAGGTCCTACTTCCATAAACTTTAGCGTGCTCTTCCCTGGTATTATGGTGCAATTCTTAAAATGATTATTTAGTAATGAAATATGTTTACTAGAGTGTTAAGGAAGAGCATGCAAATGTTTAGTCAGACTGGCCCATCCATCCAGTTGTTCTGGGGCCAGTCACCACCTGTGGATGCACAGTACCAACCTGGAAGGACAAACTCTGAAGTTCAGGGATGTATTCCAGTAACATGTGGCTTTTTCTAATGAGCCTGTGCATTTAAATGCCTTTAAGCAATCACCTGTGGATTTAATCAATGGGTCTTCCATTTCTTTTCTATTTACCCTTTATATCTTCATGAGATGTGAAGTTCAGGAGGCTTTCCCCATCCTGTGGCTGTCCTACGCAAGTGGGGCATTACCAGTTATCCCTGGGGAAGGAATCTGGGATTGAAGTCAGCCTCTGGTTACTTGGTTGTACAAACTGAAGGGGGTCAGTTACCCATTTCTGTGATGTGGTTTCCTCCTCTGTTATATAGGAATCATACTATTTGTTGTTGTTGTTGTTTTACCAACATAATCCTACTACAGACCTGGGAAACACATCCTCCTGATGCCTGCCTCTGAATTCTGATTCCAGATTTAGTACTCCAGACTTCTGTGGGGGTGTTCATTTGTCTCCTTCATCATTGAACACATTCTTATCTGATTCCTTCTCAGCGTTCAACCCTGTGGTTTTTCTGTGAGCTATTTTAATACAAAAGTGTTTTTTTCCCCAGTCGCTTTTTAGTTTTCTCTTCAGGGAGCTCCTCTGGTTGTGTATTGTGATGTGAAAGACAGTCTCACATGACTATTCCAGGTATGTCCCACCCTCAAACCAAATGACTGTTAATTACTCTTCCAAACCAGGCTCAAATGTGGTTTCCTCTCCAGAGTTATTCCCCAAATCATAATGAGGAAGTTAGCTTCACCCTTCTTTGTGCTTCTATCCATAACTTTATTTGCAGAAAGAATGTT